CCGCCCCCTCAGATGGGGCTGCCCTTCTAAAAGGGTGGGCACACCCAGTTGTTTTTTAAATCGGGGAGAGGTAGAAAAAAGGAAAGAAAAGGACACAAGGGAGGCCGATTGTAGGCCCCGGACCTCTGTAATCCATTTTAAAGGCCTCGGTTTGGGGTCGGGATGCTGAGAGGTGGGGGTGAGGTGTGGGGCGCGCTCCCTTGGCACCTGGTAATCTCAGAGACCTGGAAAAGATACCTAAATAGTTCTTGGGCAAGCCTCCTTCAGATTTTAACACAGTGTCTCCCCAGGCTGGAATTTGCCTGCTTCAACAACCGATCCTTCCTAAAAAATTAAGACACTATAATCCCTGTGAGTGGCTTAACATCGCGTGTTTTTGCTGGATAAGGGTGCATGCCAGCTGCCCTTGATCTCCCCCTACTCCCCTACCCTCGGTTTTTCCTTTCTGCGCAGATGCCCTTCACATACTTCATCATCACCAAATAGTATTTTCTATGAAAGTCACACGCACGTGGCCCTTCACATGGCTGCCTCTCTTGTCCCCAAGTGCCCTCCAAATCTTTACTGATTGTTCTTTGCTGAAGAAGCAGCAAGCAGCCCACCAAAATTAAGTGGACCCATTGTGCCACCAAGAGGTTGAGAAATGGTTTATTAAATCAACACAGTTTTCCTCAGCAAATCCTAACTCAGTGGACAAAGGCTAACACCAACGCACCGCCTAAGAATAACTCCCTCACCCTCCAGTAGATTTACCGAAATGATATTGGATTACTTTCAGACCTAAGATTTTTATTCATTGCTTAACTGAATAATATCAAACCAAACTACGTAATATATATGATATATACACTGATCTTTTGGAATACTTTCATTGAATTACTGAGAAAACGGGGCCTTTTTTTTTTTTTTAAGAAAAAAGTTTTTCCCGCCACATTTTCAGCTCTTGGTCCAGGCCACTGATTTTTGTAGATGGCAGGATAATAGGAATAAAAGTTGACTGGATGTAACACCTAACTTTGCTCAGAGTATGACCTTGGGCAAGTCACTTCACCTCTTTGGGCCTCAGTTTCCCTCTCACCTATTTGGTGAGGCTTGGTATCATCCACTCCTGTCTCATCCATATAAGGATCAAATGGATGTGAAGGAGCAGTGTGACCCATAAAGCTCTTTGTGTATTGTAAAGTTTAAAATCGTTCCAGTTTGCTATCCCCTTCTTTGGCTCTTCTCATCCCGTCCTTAAATCATACCCCGTAGGAGGTCAGATCTGTCTGACGATAGTGAATCAGATGTAAATTTTTAGCCCATTGTTTTTGCCTGAGTTAGCCCAAATGGGGTATTCAGTATAAACTTGTTATTAACAAGTGCAAAAATAAATGACAAGAGTAGATAATTATGTTTGATCCCTGTATTTTCAGAATCAGATTCAGAACACAGGTTTGACATGTGTCTAATACTTTTTTCATTACCTTCATTTGTTAGAATCAAACAGAGTTCAAACCTTGGAGTGGGATATGAATAAAGGAACGTAATCAACTGTATTGAGTACCTGCCTGCTGTCTAGCAGGCTGTTAGAGAACTTTCTGTGCAATATTCACTGAATTCTTACAGCAACCCTGTAAGGTAGTTATTCTTTTTCAGATCTTGCTCTTGCTCTGTGCCTCCCCAGCAACCGTCTATCACACAAACTTAGACATACACACCACCCCACAGTAGTTGGGTCAGCATTAGAACCCACGTTTGCGTTTTTACTAGTTTCACATTGTTTCACGAAACAATAACATTCATCAGAAATAAGAAACAGAAACTCATAAATTCCTTTGTACTACGTGTCACTTATTTCTATTAAATTTTTCTTTTATTTGAAAAGTAATACATGATCATGGTTAACAATTCAAACAATAGAGAAAGAAGTATCTCTGGTAAAAAGTAAAAGTTCTCTTCATGTGTCACCTCCCCCATCCAGTTCTTTTTCCTGCCCTGGGATAATCATCATTAAGGGTGCCATGTGTATGCTTTGAGACATTTCCTAAGCATTAACAAATATATTTCCTTTCTGTTTTATTCAACATACATGACATCATACTATATTTATTATTTTCTTTTTACTTAACAGGTCAGTATAAATCCACATCATCTTTATTAACAGCTCCATGCTCTTCCTCATCTTCTCAGTACTATAAATACTCAACCATTCCCCCACTGAGGACGACTAGGCTATTTCTGATTTTCTCTCTTCCAAATAATGCTGCAGTGAATATCCCATATATTTATCTTTAGACATTAATGTGAATATATCGCTAGGTTCACATTCTAAAAGTGGAATTATGTTAGCATGCATGAGGTCTTGGGTTCAATCCCCAGTACCTCCTCTAAAAATAAATGAACCTAATTACCTCTCCCACTAAATAAATAAATAAATAAATAAATAAATAAATAAATAAATAAGGAATTACTATGTCAAAGGCCATGTATGTTTATTATTGTGATAGGTATCGCCAAGATTTCCCCTAAAATGATTGTGTCAATTTAACATACCCAGCACAATGTGCAAACAATACCTGTTTATTCCCTATGAAAGCCATAGATATTTGCTGTTAAGTTCACACCAGAGTCAAATCTTTGCATTTTTACTCTGACCTTGTGAAGACAATCTCTACTGATTGTGAGCTTTCCAAGGAATATACAAAGTATATGATTAAATGCCCATATAATGTAGTAAAAATACTTGAAGTAAAGATACTCAGTAAATCTATTATCTTAATAACAGAATTGGTCATTTCACTCTTTCTGAGAAAACTGATACCACTTTGCCCTCAGAGATTCAAAAGTGACCTTCCAACATACACTTCTTCGTACCAGTCATAAGAAACAGACACTTAGACTGAAAATACTATGAATCTGACTCACTGGGTATATTCATGTATTGAGCACAAATTCACAATTCCATGGGCTTTTTGCTCAGTGAATCTCTAGGGCATGTTGGTGACTTTGTAAGGCCTGAAAGACAGACAAGAATAGTAATATATTATCAAATTTTGAGGAAGTTTTATGAAAATTATGTTTCAAAACCTTATTCTCCTATAATAAACTGAACATAGATTCTAACAACAGTAAAAAATGATCTATCATGTTCTCTGACTTTAGAAGGAAAGAAGAATGCAGCAAAATTAGTGGATCTATTTCAGTGGTTCTCAATCAGGTGATTTTATCCCAGAGGAGACATCTAGCAATCAAACATTGTCTCACAAAAAAACATTGTTAGCCAACGTCAGAGCCAAACAGATCATGTTACAAGCGCACTACAGTAGATCAGAAAATGTAAGTATAATAATGACTAATATGAAGACATTGTTGGTTGCCACAGCTGATCAGGGAGGGGGTGCTACTGGCATCTAGTGGGTGGAGGCCAGGGATGCTGCTAAACATCCTACAATGCACAGTCCGGGTCCCCACTGCAAAGAATTATTCAGCCCAAATTATAGTGCAGAGGTCGAGAAACCCTGATCTAGTTATAAAATATTTCTGGCTCAGTAGCAGGAAAAAAAAAAAGCTGAACGTCAACTAGATCAGAGTTTCTCAAATTTCACAGTATGTATGAATCACCTGGGAAGCCTTTTGAAATACAGATTATGATTCAGTAGGTCTGGGCCAGAGCCTGAAATTCTGCATTTCTATCTTCTCTCTCTCTCTTTTTTTAATTTTTTTGGTTAATGAAGGTACTGGGGATAGAACCCAGGACTTTGTGCATGCTAGGCATGTGCTCTACCACTGAGCA